CCTCCAAAGTCACCATGAGTTACGGAAGCAGCTCTGCAGCTCTCCATACAGTTGCTATTCCATCAGTATTCTCTGCCCTGACTCAAATCTGAGGGGCAAAAATCACCTCATTCTCTTTAGTCCAGCTCACAATCAGCTTCTGCAACTGGGGCTACTGCTCCAGCCCTGCTGCCTGTTGGTGTGGAGGCAGAAACCAGGGACTGACATGGCAGGGTGAAGGCAGGTCCCCATCTGAGGGCTCTCTTGTCCCTCTGCCACTGTCTGGTTTTCCTGCTGTAACTTACAGGTGCCTATCTGACAACAACAGTGGATGCTAAAGGCTGCAGGGTGTTAAGGGGTCGCATCCAGCTTCCAGCTGCTAAAAACTTCTTGTGACCTTTCAGTGCCTACTTCAGTTCTTCTGGATTAAAAGGCAAAAGCTTATGATGGAAAATAAAGAATTAAATAAATAAGTAGACAGCCCAGAAGCCATCCTCTATCAATCCTCAAAGGGCAGAGCAGCAGGATGCTCTGGCACTTGGTAATGTTACCTGTATCACATGGTAACACTTCCTGCTGAGTCAGGATTGGCCTTGACATGATCCAAACTGCCTACTTTTCAATTCCCCTCTCCTGCTTTCCTTTCCTCACCATGTGTATCTGTCCAAAGGCAAGAGCTAAGTCAGTGAATTCCCCTTCAGTTTGCTTCTGCTGCCTCATTTCCCATGTATTTTTCATATACTTCTTCCACTTGGCCTGATTTGTTTTGTGTCCTCTTCCTTCTTGACCATTTAATTCCTCCTTAAATACAAGTTCCTAAAATGTAACATGTACATCCAACAACCCAATTTAAGCACTGCTGAAACCCAGTTCTGGCCAAGTAAGAGTTGATGCCAGGATTAAATCGAGGTGGAAAGGCCCTAAGTATGTTATAGTCCAACTTAAACATACACATACACACGGATACACAGGCTCTTGGCCAAAAGTCTGTCTAAAACACATTCTAATGTGGTTCATGCCCATCCAGAAAGGCTGGTTACACGCCACTGTAATCTCTGTTTAAACTGTGCTTGTTAAATGCATTTTGCTTGCTCTGGGCAAACAATGCTTTTGTTTTCCTTCCATCTCCTTAGGCAGCCTTCATGTGGGAGAGACCTGGCTAAAACCATCCCCAGTAAGCTTGGAGTGCCCCTCAAGTGGCTTTTTGTTCATATGGCACTGAAGAGACACTCCTGCATGCTCCTTTGTCACTGGTTTATGCCTGCACCAGCACAGGACTTATGCTGCCTTGGATACGCTGCCAGGGTTTGCCTACCATGCAGCCCAAAGCTAAAGCATGGGGCTCAATTCTCTGCTCCTTGTCTTTGTATGCAGCTTGAACCAAATCAGGCAGCATCTCCTTTCCTGCCACTCAGGTCACCTTTAACAAGGGCACCAGTGAAAAACTCTGCACTCCCTTGGAAACAGGGATGGTTTAATTGCACTGTCAGTGCCTTGAAATTCTCAGGTGGGCAAAATGCTTATTCCACCCGGAGCTGCATCCCTCCACGGCATTAACATGCATGGCCTCTTATCTATTTCTCACTCACCTCCCTGCAATTCCCTCAGGACATCAAGTGGCAACAAATAGAAGGAAAATCCTTTTCCTGCCTGGAACTCCTTTTTAGTCCACAATTTATTTTCATGAGATGCCTCAGCCTCAGGAAGGTAAATCCTGCCCGTGGTGCTGAGCAGCTGTGACAGACACTGGAACCGAGGGGAGCACAGAGCAGGCAGAGACCAGGCTTTAACCTTGGGTTTAGTATTGGAGAATAAAGGAAGTGCATCACTTACTGAGCAACTTGAACACATTTCAGCAATTATTCCAAGAATGACACATCCAGATAAGGAAATTCTACCTTAAAAAGGGAATTTTCAAGGAAGACTAGCTATAAACAAAGCCTCAAGCCTGTACCAACCTCCAAGCTTAAAAGGAAAGGGAGCAAAGCACATGGCAAGACAAGAAGAGATCCTAATCTCTCCTTTGAGGACAATTCTCCTACCTGAAGCTTTTGGCTCTTTGCATATAGAATGACTTGTACCCAACTAAACAACTTTTTATCCAGGACAATGCAGACAGCAATCCCAAGGTGGAATCCAATGAATCCGGGTATTTCCTGGCAACTTGGAAAGGAAGATCAAAGACAAACTTATGCCAAAGGGGCAGGGAAATGAAGATGGCAACTCTCAGCCCTGCTTGATTAAAGCAGCACAGTGTCTGTGTGTATCCACACCACAGTGATGTCCCAGCATGGCTTTGGGATGACCTGTGTTAACTCCCATGTGCAACTGCACAGGGCCCTGAGAACAAGGGTCAGCTAAACCTCTTTGCCACCCCATGATATATTATATGTACACAGAACTATGAGGCAATGTAGCTCACTTAAATACATACAACCCTTTTCTGTGCCAACACATTTGACTTTCTCAGCCACACAGCACATCGCAGGTTGTTTTCTTCTGGCCTTGATGAATGACTTTAGATAGTTGGACTGTTTCATCTGCAAAACTTCTATTCCCAGGAGGAGCTCCCAATGTTTCTGCCTGGAGAGAGCTAAACTGAAGGGAACAGACACTTAAACTGAGCAGTCTCAAGAAGTGCACTTGTTGATGTAAAAACCACGCCGTTACTTTATTCTATGCACTGGAAGATCAGATTTAAATCCTTTTTTAAGACAGAGATTCTCATTTCCAAAGGGGTCTGCACCCTTCATGCAGGATCCTGCTTCACATGGCTATTAATTAAGGCTTGTGTCAGTGCTTCCATTACAAAGCTCCATCTTTTAGGAGTTTATAACCCAGTTGTAAAACTGTGCTCTGGGCTGAAATCTATCATGCAAGGTGCTGCTGGAAGGAATCCATCCCTTTGTATTTTAGCTCCAAAAGCTTACAGCAATAAACCAGGGATTTTAGTCTAAAGGCTGCCATATAAACCTCCTCCCTCAGTGGGTTTTTACATGAGTGCTGGGTGGGATGGGCTCTCTAGACCAGCTTCCAGATGCTCCCTGATCCGGGTGGGTTTTGTATCCTTAACATTGTCAATTTTAGGAGTTATGGGGGTTTATGCTTCAGGGCCAAAGTCTGTGCTTACATACATACCAGTGAGTACCTCTGCCCTCATTCATTCCCTAATGGAGTGTGAATCAGTGCAGCTTTCCCACCCTTCACTCCCCATGGCCTCCTCTGAGCCTCATGGGGATGCCAGGACATAATTCACACTCCAGTACTCAATGAAACAAGGATGGACTTGTCCCTCCACAGGCACTGTTCAGGCTACAACCTTCACACACCAATGCTGGCAACACACCAGTCCAGCTTGTCCTCAGGCTGGAGTAGGGAGTGAGTGGGTGTATGTGTATATAGTGTGTACAACAGAGAATCATAGAACCATAGAACAGTTAGGGTTGGAAAGGACCTTAAGCTCATCCAGTTCCATGGGGAGGGACACCTCACATTAAACAATGTCACCCAAGGCTTTGTCCAACCTGGCCACATCACGATGCCCACATCACCCACAGCACGGATGGGTACGTCTCCATAAAGCTCTTAAACAATGTTCTCTTAAGTCAACACTACATTTGCTGCACTGAGTCTTACCACATTAACTCTTGTCACAGAAGTCATCAGATACATTTATTTGCACTCCCTTGCTCAATCTGCTCTCTACAGAGTACGAATCATCACTTAAATGTTTGTGTAGTGTCTAGCATGCAGCGGCAGTAGTAGCAGTAATAGTAGTAACAGCATTTTCCTACTGTTTTGAAGAACAGGAAGTTCACACACAGCATCATAAACTACTTCTAGTGAAACAAAGATGCTCTTAGTGGACTGCTACTCGCAGGCAGATCCAATGGACCAGATCCTGCTTCCTACAGTATCCGTGTGTATGCAGCACATACAGAACCAGATTCTGAACTCTTCTACACCCCATCTACCTCCTTCTCTGCTGTGTAAATTAACCAATACCAGACTCAGCTATTTCACTCTGATTCAGCATAAACCAAGGTTCAAAATGCCAGTTTTCTTCTTCTAGTGCAAATTCTGCAGCTATGTTTTAAAGGATTAGAGAAGTTTATGACTACTGTCAGTGAAAACACACCATGCCCAGGGTGTACCAACTGGCCAGAGGTCACAAAGGAATACTCATGTCTATAACTGGGTATCTTCCACTGATGAGTTTCCACTTTCTTAGGGGATCCGTAAGTGCAGGAACCCAGACTTCAAAACCAAACCACCACTGGTTTGGCAATCCTTCTCCTCTCACAATGCAGACTTTTACCTCATTCCTTGCATTTATGCTTTGTAAAACACTTGTCATTTGAATGTCAACTTCTACCCACTCATAAACCTCTTGCACTGCACTTTTGCAGCTGTATTTCAACCCAGTCACACTTCACAGTGTCAAATGCAGAGTCCTATCCGCTACAACACTCCATACACTGCAATTGAATGACTGCATGCTTAAGGTTTTTGCAGGACCAGGGTGTCCCAGGGGTATCATATTATCTAAAGCATCTTTCACCCAGTGATTCTTACCATTTGTGTCACCTTTACAGGTAGCACTGAGTTAAGCTGGCTAAACACAACTCCTGAGCAACTCAGGAGCATCAGTTACTATGGCCTTCAATGAGTCTTCTGCACATGAGATGCAGATTCCCATGTCTCATGTTGGGAAATAGATCTGGGCCACCCCAACCTTGAATGCTTCCAAAAAGGAACTAAAGGAAACATATAAATCAATAATGGGCTTTCTTCAGTCTAATCAATTCTCCCAACATAAGAGACTGTTTCCCCCCCACAGACAATGTCCCCCAAATACAAACAAAAGAAAGGATTTGTAAGGGGAGAAAAAGGAACAAAGGAGGACGAAAAACCCCACAGCACTGACAGAAACGTTCATTTACATCTAACAGCATCCATATGCCAGTAACAGATCATAAACTCTTAGCCTACCATACAAAGAGGGTGCCCCAAAATGGTACCTGCAAGAGGTCTCTCGGAAGGAGATGTTTAAATCCCAGTGGGTGTGTATCCTGTTAACAAACAAACAGAGAGGTCAATGGCACATGCACTGCATCTCTTGCCACTTAACAGATCTGCTCCCTCATAGCAACCCACCCATGGTCCCTCTGCCTAGCTCTCAACCACAGCTACAGCCCCCTCCTGAGCCATGGGGTGCTGCAAGGAGCATCACTGCACACACGTGAGTCCTGCATGCCCGCAGCAGGACCCACTGCAGTAAATGAGCCCTGCAGGTGAGCTGTACAGCGGTGAGAGAACTCCTCCTTGCTGCATGCAGCCTCTCTAATAGGAGTGGGGACTGCAGGATGCTGCCTCCACTAATAGGGCATGTTCTGAGGGAGCAGCAAGAGCTAAGCAGTGACATTTCCTGAAGGAAACCCAAACGTGGCTGCGCTGCGCTCCCTCCTCCGCACCCACCCCAGCTGTAAATAAATGATTAGCCATTTCCCACCTCGGAAATTAATTCCATGGATTCTGTCACTCTGCTGCTGCCAAGCAGGAACAGCAGCTTCTGGATGAACAATGTCCTGAATTAACACACAGCAGCCAAGGGACTTGGGGTTTTGCTGTTGTTCAGCTTTTTCTCTCTTGCTACTCGACAGCACCCACACCAACCCAGAGGGCGAAGGCAGATGCTTGACCTTCTGTGGTCTGGCGTCTCCACTCGAGCACTGACCCCCCACCACCAGCTCAGTGCTCTGTGGCCACCACTGTTTCTCCATGACAACATGATGGATGAGAATCCCATCCATCTGAGCCCGGCTCCTTGCACAAACCCATCCCCACATCTCTCAGCATCGGGCAGTGAACATGCTGGCTCTTAGCTGTGTGTATAAATCAGCTCCTGCAGATGCAGGCTCCCAAATGCATTAAACAAAAGTGGCTGAAAATATGACAAGCAGCAGAAGCCAAATGTTCTTTTGTGCATTTTGTGTATCCCAACAGCATTCCTGCCCGTCCTCAACCACAAAAAGCAAGTGTGTAGCTGAAGACCATCTGACTGCAGAAGCAGCCTCATCTAAAGCCTGCTGAAGTGAAAGAGAGCCTTTCTCCCTATTTGAATGTGCTTTGAATTGGGCCAGAAAGCACTTAAGCATGACCAGGGAAGTCAATGGGACTTAACTCAGGTTGGAGTGTCTGTTTAAGTGCTTTCCTGAATGGGTGCCTCTGCTTCAGCCTGGCTCAGAAATCAACTGAAAACAACCCTTAGCACAGAAACAATTTCACATCCAAGACAGGATGGTGCTGCAGGTTTTACTAATGTGATAGCATTGCTGGTGTGCTCTCAGGAAGGCAGCCTGGTTGCTCTGAGTAGTTCTTTTAGGGGATGGTTAGATTATGGTAGATATCACCTTCCATCAACGAAGCGATGCTCAGAGCCATACTCGGTAATTCCAATTGTCCCCAGTTTTTCCTATTTTTCTTTCTCATATACAACAATTTAGAAGACCTATCCCAGCTTTCCATCTTCCCAGCATTTTACTTGCAAATAGAAATGGAATAGACACTTCCCAGCTACTGAGCTTATAGCAGTAACAGTTGCTCTTCAAAGTGAAACTCCAGACATGTAGAACAGACAGAACTGGGGCACTGAGTAGTGTTTCCATGAACTGAAGTGTGGCCAAGCTCTGGGACACATTTGGGTTTTCCAGGTAAGCTGCTCTGAATCCAAAGTCCAAAGCCAATTCAAAGCCCTGATGGGGCTGACAGGTACAGAAGGGTCTGGCCTGCTCACACGAGCACAGAACTGTGTGGTCAGCCTGATTCCACACTGCTCCCTCCAATACAAGGTTTCCTCATCCACAAAACCTTTATGAACCCCCTTTAATTCCAGCTCAACACCTTGCACTGTGCAAATCAGAGCCTTGGGAGAGCTCCAAACACTGCCCAGCAATGAACACTGTGGGACCAGCTGGAAATGGAACTGCTGTAAAGGAGCCTTGTGCTTCTCCTGTTTATGCTGTTATAGATACGTTAAAAGCCATGTTTCTGATTCATTAGAACTCCATGATCCCTTTCCTGATCATGTTTTCAAATCAGCAAACCTGTGTTTAGGGTAACCTGCCCCATGGGCCTCAGGAGGCAACATGCATTGCCTCCAAGCTGTGTTTAGAGCCTAACAAGGGGGAGAAGTAACCCTGTTCTGCTCTACCACCAAAGCTCAGCTAACTACATGCCTGTCCCTTGGGCTTACACCATGTAGTGGAATGTATCCACTGTAACAGCACCTGGCAGGTAAAGAAGTGTTTTCCATCCTGGACTCTCAGAACAGGGCTGCAATGATGTGCTCAGGCAGCAAAGGGAACTAAGAGCAGAGCAGGAGCTTGCCTGGGCTGCGGGCTCTGCACTCAGGGTTTTGTCTCTATGTTAAACTCAGCCTCCCACAAGATGTAGCTTCTCACTGTCTGCTGCAGGTACTGACATGGGCAGGCTGCAGAGCGTGATCCTAGAGTCAGGCAAAGGCACATCTCATCCATGAGACTCAGCACAGCTAAACCTCAAAGTATAAGAACACTGCACCAGGGAGTTGTAACGGGGGGGGGTGTAGGACGACACACCTCATACCAAGGGAATAGCTCAGATCCACACGGAGGCAGAACCATCCATGTGCCGAGATGGATAATTAAACACCCATATTTAGACAAATGGAGAGGTGAGAATGAAATTAAATTCTCATTATCTTTTCTTTTGGGGTGGGAGGAGGGCGGGATGAGGAGCAGAACCAAGCACTCTCTAAGCTGTTACCACCAATTAGATTCCGGAGGCTAATGTACATCTTGCTGTAAGGGGTCATTCATCCAATTGAAATCAAATTACTAATCATTTGCAAACTATCAGCTACACAAGCCCGTCCTTGGGTTCTATAGAGCATGGGGAGCAGGAGCCAGTCCCCTGCTAATTAATAACAGAAAGGGAGGGGGAGAAATCAAAGCCATCACCAGGCAAAGGTGTTACTGCTGCTACTGCCTCTCCCACCTCCTCAGCAAGCCAAGGTCTCAGACACAGGGTGAGCAGTCAGAAAGTGTTCAGTAGAGATTACAGAATCATAGAGTCCTAGATTGGGTTGGGTTGGATGGGACCTTAAAGCTCATCCAGTTCCAACCCCTTGCCATGGGCAGGGACAACTTTCACTAGAGCAGGGTGCTCTTCCCACACTGCCTCAGCTTCCACAGTCTCCCTGTATCCGTTCCATGCTGTTTTCAGGCAGCCAATATTAAGAAGCTTGTGCAGGCTATAAACAAGGGTTGGCCCCTCCAAACCTCATACCTGATGACTGGAGGAACAGCCTTAAGACTGCAGCAAGACTGAGACCTGGACTTGGGGCATGTGGGTTATTCTCCACCGAGGAATTGATGTTGCAAGGGTCAGATACAAGGAGATACAGAGAGCACTTGTGGGTCAAGATTTCATTTGCTTTCATTCTCACAGTTCACCTTGCCTTTTGCTCTCCTATCTGCTTCCTGGGCAAGAAGGGATTTCTTGCTGTTTTTATCCTGCAGCATCCCTGGGAAGTAAGTAGCCATTTTCCCTCCCTCTCTCCCCCATCAAGTGTATGTCCTCATTAGGGCAATGACATGCTTCCTGGCACTCTGGACCAAGTCCAGCCTTTATTTCCCAGAGGGTTCTTTAATGTATTTATTGAATACAGTGGCTGTTAGTAAGTGAGAGAGAAAAAGGGAAAAGGAGGGAGGAAAGAGAAAGGAGAACAGAAAATAAAGGGTCGCAGAGGAAGGAAGAAGGGATTAACAGCAAATAACCCGTGGAAGCTGTGTAAGAAGTGTCATAAAGCAGCAGAATATGTCTCCAGCCACAAGAGGGGCCCTGCCTCCCTCCCCTTGAGTCATAGCAATTAGAAGAAGGGCTGTCGGATCTAATCTAAGAGCCTGGTTCACGGCTGGAGCCCGCAGCCCTGCTCTGTCATGTGTCTTGTTTCTCTCCTGCTTCGAAGAGCTTGTCAGCTCAGCCGAGCCCCCAGCCACGTTCTGCCTTTGGCAGCAGGTAAAAAGCAGCATCGTGTGGTATTACTGCCATGGAACAGCTCCATGGGAGAGGGGGTGGCACACAGGGCAGTGCTCCCAGGGTTTGGAAGCAGTTCAGATAGAGGCCAAGCAAGAGGAGGAAGGTAAAGGCAGTGTTTTGTGCATTGCACATCAGCTGAGAAGGCACTGGGGCCTCAGAGCCCTGAATTCCAAGCAGGTGCTTGTGACAAATATAATGGGGGGGGTGCTTGGGTTTGATCTTCAATCAATTAGGGAGTCAAAGAGCAGCAGCCTTATGGGATGTAAGAAATAGCTTTCCACTTAGAAAGGCAGGCGGTGAAAGGCTGACAGCCACGAGCCATTAAGGCTTAGTGGAGGTCAGTAATTTCACTATTAGAAAATGGGCAGAGAGAGGAGAAGTGCTGTCAAACCAGACTGTGAAGTGAAGGATGCTGGGGGACAGGGGAGAGCAACTTGCCCTTGTCTGGATGCTACCCATGTTCATGTCTGAATAGGGGCAAGGAGACAGTGTCCTATCACTCCTTGAGTAAACACCTTCATTTCAAATGCTCTCCTCCAGTCTGAAGTAACACTAATGCCATGTGTGTCACGCTGCTGACAGGCCCAGAGAAGCTTTGGGGTGTGTGAAGGGTGACATTAAAAAGCTGAGGAAGGATTTAAGGGCACAATGAGCTTCTCCAGGAATCTGCTTCTCATTGCACAGACACCCTGTTACAGGACAACTTTCACTGCTCCTCAAAATGGTTTTCATTTCAGAGTAATGGCAAGGCAAGGAACCCACCCGCCTGTTGTGTGCTCTCATTGTAGAATCTGCTCCTTCTTTTGCTCCCAATCCACAAAAGAATTTCCAAGGCATTTCTGCCATACATAGAATCATGGAACCATAAAATGGTTTGGGTTCGAAAGGACCTTAAGCTCATCCAGTTCCAACCCCCTGCCATGGGCAGGGACACCTCACACTAAACCATCTCACCCAAGGCTCTGTTCAACCTGGCCTTGCACACTGCCAGGGATGGAGCATTCACAACCTCCCTGGGCAACCCATTCCAGTGCCTCACCACCCTCACAGGAAAGAATTTCCTCCTTATATCCAATCTAAACTTCCCCTGTTTCAGTTTTAACCCATTACCCCTTGTCCTGTCACTACAGTCCCTAACGAACAGTTCCTCCCCAACACATCCTATTGCTACAGCCCCATTTGCTATCCTGAGCACTCTCAGCTCACTGTACATGTTTACTGATACCCAAAGGATTCCTCCAAAGGAAGGCCAAAAAATTCCACCACTTTAAACAGGTTCTTAAGTATTTACTGCCTCTTATTATTAGCCAAGCCATCCCACCTGGCTGGGGACTTACAGCTCTGCGTGAGCAGTTCCTAACTTACCCTGTTTAAGTCTCAGCTACTATCATTACATTTCCCCCCTTCTCTTCCCCTCCCATACTAATGAGAAATGCCAGTCTTTAAAATCCAAATTCAATTCATACACCCATAAGACAATGCTGGGCATAAATCCAACAGCATATGAGGATCTTCCTGTTGAAGCTGAACCTTACGCTATGGCTATGCTGGCTTTACACTGGTTCTTGGGATAACATAATGGAGAACCTTGAAGGTAGTTTGAACCTCAGTGTGGAAAAGCTCATGGGCTTTTCTGAGGTAATGCATCTATCAGTGTTGGTTGGAATGCTCCAATGAGGGTAAGGAAGTTAATGTTCCCCAAACCATTGCAGAGCAATGGGATTTGTCATCTCAAACTTCTCTGCTTTACTTATTTGTGCCTAGGATAAACCAGAGCAGTAACAAAACAGCATCTCTGGCCAGAGAGGGGCTCTTGATCAGGGACTGCAGTGATAGGACAAGGAGATGGGTTCAAACTGAAACAGGGCAGATTATGATAGCTCTTAGGTACAAATTCTTCCCTGTGAGGGTGCTGAGGCCCTGGCACAGGGTGCCCAGAGAAGCTGTGGCTACCCCATCCCTGGCAGTGCTCAAGGCCAGGTTGGACACAGGGGCTTGGAGCAAGCTGCTCCAGTGGAAGGGGTCCCTGTTTATGGCAATGGGTTGGAGCTGGATGAACCCATGCTGCTGGTTCTGTGATCTTTTAGTTTCTCTTGCTGGGAAGAGGCAGCTCAGTTCACAGCCTGTGAGGAAAAAGGCTTCATGAAGCCGAGGTTTCTAACTGAAGCCTGCTCTAGTTCTTGTATCACCTCAGCTATACCGGTATCATTAGGGCCAAAATAACCACACAGGTGACATGGCTGCAATGGTGCATGTAGGCAGTGTTGTAGAAGAGCCAGATCTTCAGGAACCAGAAATGTGATCAAAAGAAAAGGGATTTTCCTCTGCAACACTGTCCCAATCCTCTTCAGAGCTGAGTGCTCACAGTCTGTGGCAGCAGTGACACAGTTTTGCAAGGACTTGGCTGTGAAATGAGCTGGCATGCCCTGACTTCAGTACCAGTTCCAGGTCTCTGCTCCTTTCTAGGGCTGCAAGAACATCCTGAGGCAGGTTTTCTCTCCTTCAGATCTCCTCTGAAGGCCATTACCATGGGCAATTGCCTAAGATCACGGAGACAATCACTGTCAAAGGCTATGGTGGGGGACCAGCCAAGAAACTAAGCTTCTGACTCATATTCTAATCCCTACAGTCTTTTCTTCACCAGTGCCCAGACCTCAAAGCAGCAGAAAGCATTCCCTTGTGCCAACAGCAGAAGGAAATGGTCAGTATAAAGGGAATCAGGAATAGGAGACAAAATAAAAGGCAACACCGTACAATGCAAGTGTTTATAATGGCACATGAATGCAGGTGTGCACGAGGGCCATCCAGGGGAACAAGAGGAAAACACAGGTTTGCTCAGGCCCTGACCTTGTTTTCTGCTATCACAGTTTAACCTATTTCTTCCTCTCAGTGGGAGACAATAAAACCTCAGCCCAATCCATCACCAATGGGGGAGGATACAACAGGTGAATTAACAGCAGCAAGCAGATGGGGCACTGTCTCTGATGGGCCCCAGCTGTCATGTCTGTGAGCTGTCTGGCCTTTATGATGCTGCTGCTGTCCCTGGAGCAAGCCCCATCACACCTTTCACCCCCGTCCCTATAATGATGCTGGGAACAGGCAGAGTGCACTCCTCAGCAGGACTGGAATCACATCCCTCTCCATTCATTGCTCTTGAGCCAGTGGAAATGGGCAGTCTGGGACAGGAAGGCTGGGAGACCCATTTGCAAGGGATAAAATGCTTGGAAATGCTGAGGGATTGGAGCATTGGATATTCCCTGCCTGGACACTGAATTATGTGCTCTTTCTCTGTCGGTACTGCACTCATTGAGTTCCCTGCCCCTGTTTGCCCCAGTTATTCCAGCTCTTCCCCTACACACTCTACCAGAGCTCCCAGGAAAACAGAAAGGAGCAGAACTGTACAAAAGCAAGGAGAGTCTACCTGGGAGGAATTATGCCCTCCTCTAAGGAATCAAGACAAAGCTTAAACAAGAGACCCTGAGCCAAACTGATTGGAAAGCACAGGCATGGTTAGCTGAGGGACCGCTGCCTAATAACTATTAAGTATTTTCCCTTCATTTCCTAATAAACAAGGCAAAGCAATTACAGTAATTAAAGATTGAAGATAAGAGCACTCTGTATTTGGGGGGCCGAGCACATCAATTATACAGTGAGTGTGTGGCTCTCCCTCCTAATGAGACAACCCAGCACTGTCATTCTGCAGCATTAAAGGCATAATTAAAGGGGGCAGGAGAAGAAGGGCAGGTCACCAAAGCTGATGGGGAGGGTTCCCTCCCCTCCGTGGCTCCTGTGCACATGCAATCCCCAAACACCTTTATGGTTTCAGGGTAAGAATGAGGACCCAAAGCTGCAGTGATAACCCCACACTTTAATTACAGGTGGGTTTTATGAGAGGGGCTGGTTACTGTTTTGTCTCCCTGCTTTCAAGCTCTCAGCTGCTCAATGTACCAGCATCTGTTGGAAAGCAAAGGGCGGGGGGGAATATCTTATCTGCTCAGGAGCAAGAAACACATAAAACATAAGAAAAGCAATTACATGCCTTCGGTTTCCACTCCTCTGTTTTTATAGGGCTTGTCTTAGAATCTGAGTGATTTTATGCATCAGAGGAAGATGACAATCAAGATGAGTGGCAATGATATGCATGGGAGGCTGAGGCACACAGCCTTCACGTGTTTATTTTCCTGTAGTTACAGGTCTTCTAAACATCATCTTTTATCAGAGGGATGAGAGAACTCAAAATTCTGCAGCTGAATATTATGGGCACTGAGGCCCAAGTGACAGTAACTCCAGACAATCCCTTCCCCTCTTCTTTGAACCCTGCATGGTTCCAGGCTGAATGCATATGGTACTGAGAAGGACACCACCAAAACGCATGAGAACTGAGATGAGCCCCAGTATCTGAGTGACTCTTTCCTACTGTAACTCCATTACTTCTACCTTTTAGGCTACAAAGGCACTCAGGATCAATGAGACCTAGCTATGCTCTTTGACACTTGTAGTGCTGCTACCTCCTTCCCACACTCTGCTCCCCAACACTGAATTACCCAGTTTATATTACATCACAACATGGAGACAACTGAAAGCAAAAAGCAGGACTTTGGACCCTGACACCTCTGTGTATTTTCAAACAGCTATGTTAAAAGCCTACAGATGACTTCCTGGTCATGGAATTCTTTGGCCTCATCAGACACAAAGACAGGGAACGCTGGATAAGAGGGTGAAATACAACTGACAGCCTGCAAATCCAGACACCTTTGGTGCAAACACAAGGCTCCTGCTCACCCCACAGAGGAGTGAGTAAGTAGGAAAGAGGAGCCAACTACTCCTTCTGAGCTACAATGTGATATCTGCACTTGAACTTCAGGCCCTGGGGGTGACTCCATTGGCTGCCCACAAAGGCTGGTCACCCGCTGCCCAGTTTTCTCTGCCTCTGCTCTTGCAGTGCAGCACTCCCTGGCAGGAATTTACCTTCTTTTCATGATACTGATGTGGAGATCCTCCTCCTGCTTTACTTCGGGGTGCTGACCATTGCTCTTATCGCTCTCCTCGCTGTCGTCGCTATGTGAGAAAATGGAGGTCAGCTCTTTCTTCGGGATCTTGGTTGGAGGTAAGGGGATGGTCCTCTTCTCTGCCAGGCGACCCCGGTTCTGCCACAGGATGGAATTAGGTGGGATGGGCAAGGGCAGGAAGAGAAGAGAAGAGAATAAGAATTTGGTTAGGCAATGCAGGACCAGGCAGCCTCAAATGGCATCAGTGCAGGTTTCAGGCTGTTGTTGGGTGGGCAAAGGCTGGGTTCACTTTGCAGATGACTTTTCAGCAGAGGCACATCTCTATGTAGCTCTAGTTCTAATCAAGCCATGCACTTCCAGCCTCTTCCCACCTCTTCATTCCTAGGTTGCATCTCACCCACGCCAATAGGAAAGGGAGATGGCAGCAGAATTAGGCACCAGTCTCTCTCTCCAGAATATTACCTATCAAACACTGTCCATTAACACAGCAGACTGGATTACATTAAACCTTTGCCAGCAGCCCAGGAGGACATGATCCAGATAATCCAGACCACTTCTGACTGCAAAGGGAAAACTGCCTATGCCAGCCAGCAGCAAGTTTGCCCCTCACACCAGTGAACAGGCCACATGAATTCATCTTGCATTACTGAGGCTCCTTCTCACTGTTCATTTGCATGCTCAGGTGAACCCAGCAGCTCCTGCCTTGTGCAGCCCTTCCCTAGGTGGTCCTGGCAGTGTGCTCCCCTTCTGACACGCCACAAGTACACAGCAGGAGAACTCCCAGGAGGCAAAAGCTGCTTTCCCACTGCATGTGTACTTGTGCGCAGAACGCAGCACAACATGACCCCAACCTCCCAGCCTGCATGTAGAGAGAATGTGTGACAGATTACTCTAGGTATCATTTGTATGAGCCTAGTGCAGCCTAACACAGAGCCTGATGGGTTTTAGCTCTCACTGTGATAGAATACATTTCCAGCACTTGGCGTGTTTAGCTTGACCTGTGATGGACCAAGACATCCATAACACAAGAGGAAGATGTACACAGAGACACAAGGAGACCATCATGTCACTGCCCCACAGAATTCAGCATTTTAACAAGTAGAATCATGAAACTAGGAAGGGAATCACAGTGAGGGGAAGTGAAGAAAAGATTCCTGCATGTTCTTTATACAGGTATGCAGGAATACTTCCTTCAATAGGACTTCCTTCGATAGGACAAGTCATAGAGAAGAAACACGACCTTAGCAAGGAAGAGAACAGTGTGGAATAGGTGGAGTAAATGCAGAGTAACACCTAACTGGTACCAGGTTCTCTGAAACATGGACTCCAACTTTCCATATCAACCTGGCAAAATGGTCCTGGAGTCAGCCGGGCTCTGCAGGGGAGGATGGAGGAAGCCCAAGTGCTGGAAGAGCCCAGGCTGTTTTAATTAAACAAATGAAGAACTTCCCCCAAATACAAAGCAAAAACTTCTTGTTTACCTCCATCAATAAACTCCATTTGGGGTCATGAAGGGGAGCCCTATTCGCTGTGATAATTGGCTAAATCCATCTGGAAGGCATCACCCCAAGGAAGCACATCAGCTTCCCATTCTGATGCATGTCCAAGCCGAGAACACGGCTGTGTGTGAACAGCAGACACCCAAGAGAGAGAGAAGCAATGGGGCAGACTGGCTTAGAAATGGGGAAACACACAGATGCAAGGAAAACAACACACAGTTTCTTCTTGGGAGTCATGTGAAGAAGACAAACCCATGGACAGCAATAAGGTGAACGCTCCCACACCATCCCAAGTACTTGGATGAAGCTGCAGAGGCTTTGTAGTGAGTTCTCACCCTGTGGGCTCCCTCCACAGTGGCAGAGATACACACACACGGCCCTGTGCACAGAGGATTCTCACTGTCTGCTCCCTGAAGGAACATCTCACATAAATCACGCATCTCCTACCCTTAACACCCTTGCATACTGAGGGGTATTTCCACCCCTGGTCCCTTTCCTGTTCCAGAATGGGCACCAAGCTTACCCTCTGTGTAAAGCCACCTTAGTGACTCCAGCTGACGGACAGCAGGGAGGAGAGGGAGGGGAAGGAGAGGAAGAGCAAGGAGGGCAGTATGTGCACCAGAGTTCAGTCATGCTGAAAAGCTAGGACATAAATCAGCGTGAGCTTTATCATGCCAGAGCTTTATATATACATATATATGTCTGAAGTTGCAATTTATCATAACAATTAAAGGGGGAGGCGAGGGGTGTGCAAATTTCCACTTCAAAATAATCACAATTCACTCCCTGCTGTGACTCCACAGCCTGAAGAGAACAGCACCGAGCAGACACTAAAAATCATTTTATGGCCATTACGGTACCTTGGAGCAGTTACCAGGTCTCAATGACTGCCCAGGGACTCATCAGCGCTAACAAGAGTGAGAGTGCAGCAAACAGGGAGGCACTGAACCCAGAAAACAGCCCACCAGACAAGGAAGCCAGGATCCCCCTCCCCTGCTCCTCAGAATGCTTATTCCTTCCTGGAATATGCCTACAGCTGTTGCACACACAGACACCTATATATAGACACACAAAGATATATAAGCCTGTATATGTAATATAAAAATATGTAGGTACATATCTCTATAGATATCTATATGAAGACAGGCTGAGAGCTGGGCTGGGGCAGCCTGGAGAAGAGAAGGCTCCTGAAGGGGAGACCTTAGAGCAGCTCCAGTGCCTAAAGGGGCTGCAGGAAACCTGGAGAGGGGCTTGGGACAAGGGCCTGTAGGGACAGGCCAAGGGGAATGGCTTGAACCTGCCCGAGGGGAGACTGAGCTGAGCTCTTAGGCAGAAGCTCTTCCCTGTGAGGGTGCTGAGGCGCTGGCACAGGGTGCCCAGAGAAGCTGTGGCTGCCCCATCCCTGGCAGTGCTCAAGGCCAGGTTGGACACAGGGGCTTGGAGCAAGCTGCTCCAGTGGAAGGGGTCCCTGCCCATAGCAGGGGTTGGAGCTGGATGAGCTTTAAGATCCCTTCAACACAAACCAGGCTGGGATGCTATGATACTACCTAACACACAGAGAGCTGCTTCCTTTAAACACAAGTGGAAGAGAGAAAGTGCACCTGCACCTGGAGCAATCTCTGCTCACAGATGACCTGCACTGCTTTTGTTCTGACCACAGTGGTTCCAGTGTCCCTGCAAACACTTGCATTCCAGCACTGGCTATGCCTTTCCTTTTAAGTTGTGTTTGTTTTGCACTTGTGCCATTAGGTTTGGGGCAGTTTATTTATTTCTTTCTGACGTTTTCCCCATTCCCAGAAAATTAAAATAGACTGAGCTAATCAATTTTGCCTTTTATGTTCATCTACAGTCAGTTTTGAATCAATTGCACTTGCTTAATCTGTTTAGAGGCATTCACAGTAGATACACATTACTTTTAAATTAAGCACAAAGGTAGCCAGAAGCCTGGGCCAGAGCCTGCTACAATCAATTGTCTTTCCATTGACTTGAAAGGGCACTGGTCCAAGCTGCAAAGAAAACACACTCATCTGTGAGAAGCACTCTCCATGCATGGACTCATCCCTGTGACTATGGCTTTTGCTGAAGCCCTTTGTCACTTTGGTACAGACACAGGACAGGCAAGTATGTACAGAGCTGAGCAGTACGTGCAGGTACCAGCAGTCAGGTTCAGGTTTATCAGCCATCACCTGGCATGCAGTGTACTTAAAGCAGTGTTAGATGCAAGAATACACTCAAGAGTCTTGCAGTAGCATCACTATGTAATGGGAGGTACATTAGGATTTATAGATATTTGATGTAAACCTCATAATCTCACATTAAAAAAGGTGGTATTTGTGTGACAGTATCGTTAGAGTGATCTCATAGACTGGTAAGGGCTGGGACCTTACAGCTCATCCAGTTCCAACCCCTACCACGGGCAGGGACACCTTCCACTAGAGCAGCTTGCTCCAAGCCCCATCCAACCTGACCTTGAGCACTGCCAGGGACTGAACCATGAGCCCTGTGAGAGAAGGTTCAGGTACTTTCAGAAGCAAACTGCCTCCTGCCTTGTGGATGCTCACTGGAATATCTGATGCTTGGGAGAACAGCCCGATCAATAAGGCACCTTCTGCAGAGCATCAGGCATCTTGGGACTCTGGCTACCCCTGTTAAATAGCTCCATTTCTACACACATAAAGGGAAGGGGGAAGGTGGGCTTTGCCAGCTGGCTTCCTTACACTGGTAGAGCTGTTTTGGCCAGTGGGTCATAAGGAGCATTTTCCATAGTTCCAGAGCCACCAGCTGCTAGTGCAGGAGCAGCACCCCCAGATGAAATATATGGAGCACTAAATACATCTTATAGCTCAGCCCAGCAAAGCCAGGCTGCCTGCCAGCCCCCTGGCCAAGGGAATACAGGCAGAAGGTGGTATAAGGAACAGATCCCAGCCCTGAGAGCAGGGGGAATGGAGGATGGATCCTCACTGAGGACCTGCTCCCCACAATACATCTGTGGGTGAAATCCAGCCAAAACCCTACTGCAGTTATCACACGGGTGCTCTCCCCTACCCTGCACCGCCTCCTCTATGCCTGAGAGGAGTCAAAGAGGGTTGCTGTCAGGACAAACACTGACTCAGCTCAGGGGAAACCTCTTCAGAGCCTGCACCTCCCTTTCCTAACACAAGGATTTCCCCACCCCTTGGACAGAACATCACTTCTGCTCTCCCTAATGAGCGTAACCAGGAAGTCAAAGGTTTCTACAACTCCCAAAGCCTTTGCAAGGGCGAGTGTTGAGGGCACTGCAGAGCTGCCTCGTGTATTAGGGCTCCCTTTATACATTGTTAGAGATTAAGATTGTGGGTTATGATTCCAGCTAACGAAACACAGCTGGAGATGGAGTCAATAACCCTCTATTCCCCAGGCCTGCCCAGCCCTCACTCATCACCTCACCCTCCCTGGGTCTTCTGACACCATTAATTGCTTTCACTGCCTCTCAAAGCATTGGCTGGGTGGGGGGTGGCTTTGTTTTCCCAAATCACAGCCAAGCACATTTCCTTGCCCCAGGAAAAATGAGATGGGGACCAATGCGCTGGTGCAAGCTACCCATTACCCACGTCTAGAGATGCAGCTATGAGTATAAATCCCCACAACCTGGGCACAGCG